GGGAATAAACTAAACCCCACATGCCTGTTGGGCTGTAAATCTGAACTGTCCCTAAATACTCATGCTTTGAAAGCCTAATCTGTTTCTGGTGCTATTATTCTAGCCTGGTTGGTAGAAGTTAGTCATTAAGGGTGACCCTATTAAGGTTATACCCACTGCGGGTTCCTGTCTGCATTGGTCGCCACATTCTGTCTGCTACAGCGACATGTCCTGGCCACAAAGTCCTGCTGCCATGAACTTCATTATCCCGTCCCACCATAGTGAGCTAAAACTGTGAGCCAACATAAGCCCTTATACCCTTCTGAAGAGGCTAGCAGCAGGGGGTAAGGCTCTTCGCTCTGATCTCTTGGCTTTCTTCTTTGCATTGGTTCTGTGTTTCTTATTTAATAAGACGGTTGGCTACACCCTTCAGTTGCTTCTATGTGTGTTTGTTGCAGCAGCAAAACTAAGAAATGTAGTAGCAATAGTCTAGATGTCGGTCTCGCCTGACACAGCCATTGACTGGGGTTTGAAGGAGATGGAGTGGACCTCAGTTTTCTTAGTCATTGCCCAGCAGGGTGTGGGAGCAGGTCCCAGGCCACCTCGGAGGCTGACTAATTGTCTTGGTGGGTCCTTTCCCTTATTAGATAGACTTCCAGGGATTTGGAAGCTTTACGTCATAGGAATCTTCACACCTGGACCTGACTCTCAGCTTTGACATTTACAACCTGTCTGACACTGGGCAAGTGACTCAGTCACTTTGAACATGAGTTGCCCACTTGGTAGTTTTGAATGGTAACCAGCCTAACTAAACATTGCAAAGAGTAGATGAACTAATGGCAAGTTCTTCACGGGGCTTTGGGCACATGTGATGAAATGCTCTTCAGATGTGCCTTTTTTCACTATTGACCCTTTTCTCCTCTGGGGCTGTAACTACCACTTCAAGCACATTTCTAACTTGCTTTATGAGACTTGTTTTGAAGAATTTAGGGAAAACTGTCAGAGGCTGAGTCCTAAGGCAGGTTGGTTCACTGGTCATGTGACACATGCCTACAATCTCAGCACTCAGAAGGTGAAGGGAGGGAGATCAGGAGTCCATGATCATCCTGGCTACACGGGAAATTCAAGGCTAGGCGGGCTACCTGAGATTCTGCCTCAAACAAAAACAAAGACTGGTTGGTGATGGCATTTTCAGCCATAATAGGCTTGTTTTAATGTGGATAAAATGAGTTCTTCTTACAGAAATAAATACATAATTTTATAAGATGCTCCTTAACAGACAGATGTTAATTAACCACAAATCTATGGCTATAAGGAAAATAAACAGAAATCATTTAAATATGGTCAACTCTGAAGACCAGAGAGGGGCTAGAAAGCTAAGAACAAGGAAAGCAGACTCTCACTTACTTCTCTGCATGCTTATGTATTGCCCAAAGGATTAAAAGAAATACATATTTATTCTGATTAACTTTTTAATTTTTATTTTATTCATTTGTTATTATTATGGGGGAGGCAGTGGACAGAGTCTTTCCATTTAGCCCTTGTTGGACTCGTACTCACCTTGCAGGCCAAATTTGCCTTGAACTTATAGCCATCACCCTACCTCCACTGGGCATGTGCTGGGATTATAAACATGAACCATCTTGTTAGGGTCTCTGCCTATAAGAAATATTTACACTTCTTACAGAGTTTGAGAGAAGGCAAACTGACAGTGTTGTGGACTATACAAAATGAGTGTTATCAGTAACATTAATGAACTACAGCTACATACTGATATAAAATGTGGCCTTAAGACTCATTTACTTACCAAAGAGGAAATGCATGCTAACAATTTAGCACATATTAGGTAAAGAAAACCTTGGCCATTATTCTATATCATAAGAGCCATGCCTGCTTATCTTTGTTTAGTTTTCATCATGGAATCAAATTTAGTCAATTATTGCCCAACTCAGTTGGCTTGAGACAACGTCAAGGGCGCAGATCATTCCTGTACCTTTTTAGCATCAATGTTATTCATGCCCAATAAGTAAAAAAGGAAGACTAGATGGTGGCAGCGCACACCTTTAATCCCAGCACTCAGGAGGCAGAGGCAGGTGGACCTCTGTGAATTCAAGGCCAACCTGAATTCTAGAACAGCCAATGTTACACAGAGAAACCCTGTCTCAAAAAAACAAACAAACAAAAAAGTAAGAAAAGAAAAAGAAACCAGTCACTTAATAAGCACTGGAACAAGATAATGCACCTGCCTGCAAACAATTGCTTATGTGAGTATGTGGTGATATTCTGTTTGTACTGTAACAAATAAAGCTTGTCTGAAGGGCAGAGGGCAGAGTCAGCCACAGAGTTAGTCATAGAGGTCAGGCAGTGGTGGCACACGCCTTTAATCCCCACATTTGGGATCTCATGCCTTTTCTCCCCATATTTGAGAAGCACACACGCCATTAATCCCAGCACTAGGAAGGTTGAGACAGGAAGTGATATGGCTGGATGGAGAAAGGCATATAAGGCAGGAAGAGACAGGAACTCACCCCTTTTGGCTGAAGACTCAGGGGCATTCAGTCTGAGGGTTCATGGAGACAGGATCTTTCCCTTTCAGCTGAGGAGTTGGTGAGGCTAGAAGTGGCTGTGGCTTGCTTCCTCTGATCTTTCAGTATTTACCCCAATATCCAGTTCCAGGTTTTTATTGTAAGACCAATTAGGATTCATGTAACATGAGAACAGAGTGGCAAATCCCCTGGTCACTTGTGTCTTATGTGCTGTAGTCATCATTAGGAGTTACATAGACCTTTAGCTGTTGAGTCAGGATGCAATCCAATATTCTAGGCAGTCACTGTTAGGTAGAGCTGGTATCATGTGCAGAGCCTACTCACCATATCTAGACTTTGGAATCTCTAACGTTTCTCCTAGATAAACTCACTAGTATCCTTGCAAAATGGACCACCAAGAGGAAGAAAAACAATACCCTAGAAATAAGCATGTCCATGAATGCTGGCACACAGACCATGTTAACTGAGAATAGAGCCAAATGTTACCCTTCCCTGTGCTTTCCCTGTGTCCCTCCTTCCTGTTGTCTTTGCTATGATGGACCACAGAAGTTCTCTTTCTCATGTTCTGCTGAATTAGCTAGTAAATGCTCCATGCCTTCCTTGAATTCTTTGTAGTCCCCAAATCCACTCACAACCAATCAGATGTTCCTAAATTTTGTGGTGGTTAAGGAAACATGGAATAGTTGGTGTCAATTTCAGTAGCATGAGCATCATTAGAAGAATTAGGGTAGATACTATTAAATCAGTTACAGAACTACTCCAGGATTCTGGAAAGCAAGTAATATTTCTCCATGTGTTCCTTGAAACTGGTACTATAGTTCCTTGGTCAGATGAGTATAGTCAACTATTTGGCAAACTGTACGAAACCTAATGCTAAATAGAGTTTATTAGCTGACTGTGTGAAACTCTGAACAGTAATGCAGGAGTCACTATGAGAGGGGCTGAACTATGCCTTGGCTCTAAATTTTTTTAACCCCAGAGCTTTCCCCTTTAAGGCCAACTCTGGACACTGATGTGTCATAGAAAGCATCCTGGGGAAGCGGTCTTTGCTTTCCCTACCAGCTTTTGTTTGTAGATGACATGTTTAATAATTAGTCTCTTCCAGACAGTTTTTATGTAGAATGGGACAGCAGATCAGCAGTTCAAAGATAGATGCTGATCTTTTTTTTTAAGCTCTTAACACAGTCCCTGAAACCTAGGAAAGCAGATAAATCTAACATCCAGATATAAAATTCATTCTGTGAGTCTTGCTATAGGTGATGTTTATAAGTGCTCTAAGCACTAAGTTTTCATTGATAACCTTACAAATGATCTCAAGGAAAGCTCCCTGATACGCACTTTGCAAGGTAAAAAAAACAAAAAAAAAAAACAAAAACCCATGGACTTGTAGAGGCTATGAGATTTGGCCAGTGGGCCAGCAAAAGACTTGACTAATGGACCAGCAAGATGGCTCAGTGGGTAAAGTCACTTGCTGCCAAGCCTGATGACCTGTTTGATCCCTGGAAATTAAACAATAGAAGGTGAAAACTAACCCCTACAAGTTGTCCTCTGACCTCCACATGTGTTCCATGGCAAGTGCACATCCCCTACATAAAAAGTAATAAATAAATAAGTAGTTCTTAGCCCGAATCACATGATAGAATTATGACCTGACAGAAGTTAGCTCCACCCTGGTTTCAAATATGGAACCCAATATAGCGCATGTAATAACTGCTGGAGGATACAGAAAGAAAAGATGCTTATCAAAATCAGGCTAGACCCTTGCTATTAAAAATTTATTTTAGCAGGGTGTTGTTGGCGCATGCCTTTAATCCCAGCACTTGGGAGGCAGAGCCAGGAGGATCTCTATAAGTTTTGAGGCCAGCCTTGTCTACAGAGTGTGATCCAGGACAGGCTCCAAAACTACACAGAGAAACCCTGTCTCAAAAAAACAAAAAAAAAAAATTAAAATATATGATAAATATATATATATATTATATATATATTTATATTATATATAATATATATATTAAACTTTACACATATTATGTAGCTATATATGCACTCTATACATGCTAATGTACTTAAATATATCCCTAGTGTAACTCCTGAAAGAGCTATTTACTATAAAGGATGAAAGTTAGGAAAAAAAGAGTGCATTTACAAACAGATAAAATATACCAAAAAAAATCTATGGAAGTGAAAATAAAAAATAAAAATAAGAAAAGAATCTCCTATTCAGGAGGAAACCTGAATTCCTGCATTTCTCACTGGCAGCAATTGGTCGATGGCCCTCCATTGTGACTATATGTAAGAATCTCCTGGCCAGAAAGAAATATCATCAAAACTACACTGACATTCTCTTAGGACCTTTTCAGAACTGCACACCCATGGGATTCACCCCAAGAGCTGGCTCTGACACAGGCCTAGGTGGCGTCTGACATGGGCCCTTTTGACCAGGCTTGTGGGTGATCATCAGGAGTGAGCACTACTCACAGAGGCGAGGAATCCAAGGTAGATTCTCTTCAGCCCGACATCATCCAGCCTTTGGGGCCAAGGGCAAAATGTCCAGCGGAGAGCTTTTCCAGACGTTGGTTCACAGCTCACACTTTCACAGCCTCGCCCTGAGCAGGGAGCCAGTGCCAGCAATCCACTGCTTCTTCCTCCTGAGCTCCCAGTCGCCCCAGGCTGTCCTGTTGGCTTCTGTCTTCCCCTTAGCACTTTCTGTCAGTCCAAAAAAACTCAGGAAGCCAAAGTGAACTCCTGTTTGTTTATGTGGCAGCTAGCTCAGAGTCTCTGCCTAAAAAATGTTCTTGGCTTTTGACAAAGCCGGCTTGGAGATGCCTCGGTGTGCTTTAAAGAGGCCACAGAGCAGCCCGGAAACTGGTGCCCTCCACGAACAGCCAATCGCTGAAATAAGACCGTATTACAAACAGCTGGTGGTTCAGAAACAAGGGTGTTTTTGACATGTTTTCTTATCCTTTGGCTTTAGAGGAATGTAAAATCGAAGGCAGGGGCTTACGTCTGTCTATAGTCAGATGGAAACTGACTTCGTGGAATTGTTTTTAGTTCGGAAGAATTCTTGACTTACAGTGATACACGTAATGTGGAAAGGACCAAGAGTTGAGGACATCCACTTGTAAAATAAAGGCATCGTTCTTGGCAAGTCCCTGTGTTAACCATCTTTAGAAGCCTTGGGAGACACATCAAGGTTAACTCTTTGAAACCTTATAAAGTCATTCAGAAGTTGATGACAGTGAAAACGTGGCTCATTTTTACGGGCTAAAAAGGGGAAAAATATTTCTCTAAAGGCCAAACTTTAAAGGTTCATTATCAACTCTATGGTGAAAAGAGGCAGGGTGTCTGATGATAAAATTAGACATTAGACTGGTGGTGAATGTGGTGTGAGAAGAACAGGTGTTACCATGGCAACCAATGACAAGTGAGCAATTATTTCGTCACTAACGGCCCTGTCCCCAGTGGGGATGCTTGCTGCATTCAGGGAGTTGTTGAAAACAAGCTCCCTGCCACCATAAACTCGGCAGGAAGATGCAAGAGAAAAGCAAATAGAGAGACACCAAAACAGATATGCGAAGCCCACAGCAGAACTGAAATTTGGAAGGCATTTCTTACAAACTAGAGAAGGGCTCAGAGAGATTTGAGAGCGCTGCAGACACACTACTGCCTTCTTTTACCTGCAAGTTCCTCCTTTCTCTGTTCTCACTGCTTCTGTCACATCAAAGAATGTGAGGGCTGGAAATGTCTTTGGGAAAAAAAAAAACACCAACCCTCCCCTTTGACTTGCAAAGAGCCTGTTAATGCCAGGGTTTGCACAGTACTGAGATGCCAAGCTCAGAGCCAGCCTTCTATGCTCCTGGCAGGTACAGGCTCTGCACAGACCAGGTAAACAGGCAGAGCAGAGCCTGGCCTCTCAGTGTATGCCTTTAGTCTCAAGCACTATCGCTGTGCTCAGAAGGCAGAGCATAGCAAGTTCAGGACCACCCTAGGTTACATGAGACCCTGTCCCAAAACAAGTGGAAAAAAAAAAAAAGAAAAGAAAACTTAAAGAATGAGTAGGTGCGGCCATAATGAAGTTGGCTCTGGGCACTTGTAGGGACTCAACTTCCTTCAGCTTGTACATCACTGATGGTCAAAGACAAGAATATCTGCCAACCTCAAACTCTAACGGACTCCAATGCTATCTAACTTTGAAGGAGGCATGAAACAGTCAGGGCATATCATTTCCCATGTGGCTCCTCTGCTTTACCTTAAGTCACCTTGGAAAAGAATTCACTGAAGAAGTTTGATATAGAGATGTACAACTCTTCTTGAGAGTACCTCAGGCCTCGGAGAGAAGCTGTAACCCAAAAAGGGATACATCCCTGGCAGTTGTAGGCATTTGCCTAAAGACAGCAAACAAAATACCAAGAAACAAGACTCATAACATGTGTGTTAACGCAGAGACTCACTGACAGTGGATACTGGGCTCTTGATTTCTTTAGAACTTTTCAACTTCAAAATAGAGACTCAAAGAAGTAGGCCACAGACCAGCTGTAATCACACAGCACAGATCTCATTTTTTTCTGATATCTCTAGTCACTGAAAAGAAAGTAAGCAAATTAGCTTTACCATGGTACAAGGAAGACCCCCGCTTCTTCCCTTTGGAGAGAAGCTAAATATACTAGGTAACACTCCATGGGCTACCATGTTTCAGCCCACAGTCTAGTTGTCACCAATCTTATTCCCAGGCTAACAATGTTAACATAGCAGAATCTGTTCTAAATAGCCATCAGTTCACATGCACATGGACTTGCAAACACACACACACACACACACACACACACACACACACACACACCACGTGCACACATGTCTTGAGAAAATGTTGAGCTTGCCACATTAAAATAATCAAAGCCTTTTTTGATGCTATTATATCAGGGGTTCTCAACTTTCCTAATGCTGTGACCCTTTAATACAGTTCCTCACGGTGTGGTGACTGCCAATCATAAAATTATATTGTTGTTATTTTATAACTGTAATTTTGATACTGTTATGAATCATAATATAAATATCTGATATGCAGGATATTTGATATGTGACTCCTGTGAAAGGGTCACTCGACCCCCACAGGGATCATGACCCACAGGTTGAGAGACACTGTTATAATAAAGCTACTTTAAGACCTTAGCATCCTCATTAAAGAATAATGGCCAGTTTCAGTAATGCCAAATTTCAAACTTTAAAACTGACTCCATGATGGGTCATTCCTTACCTGGGGCTTAGTTAATCAATCTCTAGGAAGTTCATAAAACTCCTACCAGCTCATTGAAGATGGTTTGATGAACTTGCCAGCCACTTCCACTAGCACAAACTGCAAACATAGAACTTCATTAAAGCCAAGGACAACTGCATCTCTTTTACTAGACCATGTCAAGCAAAAAATGAATACAAAAGTCAAATACCCTAGTCTCAAACTTAGAGTACTCTTAAAATCATATGACAATTACTCAGTGAGTTACGCTGTATAGAAAAGGTTCAAACCAGGACTTCCACTGAGTGAAAACATCTACCCAATTACTTGCTTCAGTATGAGATATTTTCAATAATGAGAAATGGGTAATTCAAAGGCAATAATGCTGCCCACTCCTCTTGATGAATACTGGTGTGTCATTTGCTGAAAGTAACTGATGCTGATGAGGCTAGAGAGCCCCGAGCAGGGCACATACCACTATCTGTAATCCTGGAGTTATATACTCCATCTCTTCATAGAGCATCTCCTCTATCTGCCCTTGAAGGATCTTGACTTGTTATCTGGTGACTCTAAGACAGTTAGGTCCAAATTCCATGGTGGATAACAAGGTGATGGAGGGTAGAGCTCAACATAAACCTTTATAATCCCTCAGAGAGTTCAATGCTAATTATCTCACTTATTTTATAGTCCAAGATGCTGCCTCTGAAGAAAATGAAAAGGTCAAAAGGAAAGATAACTGCTGTGGGATGGTCTGTATGTCAAATTGCTCTGGCTGGTCAATAAATAAAACACTGATTGGCCAGTGGCCAGGCAGGAAGTATAGGTG